GGAGCAACCATTCACCATTCAGGCACTTGCGCAAAAACTTTGCTGCTGAATATTCCATGAAGTTGCCAATAAAGTCAAGTGGAAGCGCAGTCCTCGTAGCGAATGCTGTGCCTTTGCGACTCTTGTTATTGTTGCTGTCCCTGGCATCTGCACGCACAGTAGAGACTCGATTTGTGAAAGTGTAATTTTGAGAAACTAATAAATAAGTAGGATTCATCTTAATAAGAACAGCTTGTGGGTTTTTGTTTTTTAAATAGTCCTAAAAAAAAAACCTATTAAATAAAATTTAAATTGAAAAAAATTGCAAAAATCGGTTAATGTCTATAGTTTCCATTCGTTTAACATATGTAGCCTAATAATTGATATTATGATTCTTGTAATTATTGTACAATCTTAAAAATTGTACAATCTTAAAAATTATTCCGAGTTTAGATTTAGATTCTATATTAATTGAATTAGTATCATATTTAATCATATTTAAGATACTTCTATCAAATTTGAAAACTTTCCGAACCCCTCTTTGATTTAATTTCAACGCACATACATCTTGGAGTTTTCTAATTAAACATATTTAAAATTCTTCTATTTACCAATTTTAATAACATCTCTTCGATTTCATTCCAACGGGCAAATACACTTGGGAGATTATCAGGATTCTCTAAGATATTATCTTAATTGAATTAGTCGATTTGGTTAGACATAAGCAAAAGAGTTTGTTTTGTAAAACCAACAAATCATATTTCTAATTAACTAATTTGTGTTAGAAATATAAAATATAGACCTAATTGTAATTGCATCATTAGGAGAAAGTTAATTTATTTAAACCACTGCTAAAAGTTTGATTAAGTCAGAAACCTTAACCCTTCGTATGACTTTTTTCTGATTTCTTTGCGATTTTTTCCATTAAATAGCAAAAGCAAATAAAAATATACGTGTTTTTTTGGTTTTTTGAAATTTTGTGATTTTGTATATTTTTTCTTTACAAAACACGGTGTGTTTTATTTTTACATTAAAGTTGTTTCTGGGGTCAAAAAATGTATGTAAATAAGAGATAAAGTGCTAAAAATGAAAATAACAAAGAAATTAAATAATTTGGGAAAATTATACAAAATGTAAAAAAAATATAGAATAATGATTATTTACTTAAAAACAAACGATTAAGTAAACATATTTGTTGCAATTTCTTTTGGAAAACATTTGCTAAAATTAATTGACATCTTCAGAGAGAGAGTTGCCTATCGATGCTTCACTGTCTCCATTTTCTGCACAGCAGTTAAGTAGACTTTGTTGTTGTTGCGGTTGTTCTGTTTGTTGTTCTTATTGTTGTTGCCCCCTGATGCTGGCCTCCTGCCACAATGCAGTGCTGCATACTAATTTGCCAGCCTCCCCCCCTCCCCCTGCTCCCCTTTTGCTGCATTTCAGGATGTTGATGGGGAGGGAGGCTAAGCGTCATTTTGTATTCATACCAAGCACCAATTTCTTGTTGCTCTTGTTGTTGTAGTTGGCATTGTTGTTGTTCTTGTTGTTGTTGCAGTTATTGTTGTGCCTGCTATTAAGTGAAATAAAAGTAAAAATGCAATAAAAATGTAGCCCGCCTCTCGTTTTTGTTATTTTGCATTAAAATTGCATTACAATTGCTGTTGATATTGTTGTTGTGGCTGTTGTTGTTGCTGTTGTTATTATTATTATTGTTGTTGTTGTGTTTTTATTATGGCAATTGTTTCTCGGCTGTTTGCCATTTTCAGCATGGCTATTTGGCCGTTGTTCATGGTTGTTGTTGTTGCTGTTAAAATGAAATCCAATTAGCCGACTACAAGGCCTACGAAGCAACGTGACTTGTTCCCTCTACGAGTGTGTGTGTATGTGTGTGTGTGTGTGTGAAAGTCCTTTGGCATGTGCGTTTGTGTGTGTGTGTGTGTGGCTCACGCATTCAATTGAATATGCAGTAATTGCTGTTTCATTTCTGGTCATGATTTTTACAGCCCCCCAAAAACGTTGGAGCTTAAGTGCAAAATTGAATTTCTGTGATTAATTTTTTCCACTCACTTGGCCAAGTGGGCGTAGCTCCAGCCCAAAGATGGAAAACATTGGACCTGCTGCAAGGCAATTGAAAACTTGCAGCAGCCACTAACTACTGCTGTTCAATGGGCACATGCCATGCCACCTGCAAGTTGCAACATCAGTCGATTGTCTCTTGATTGTGTGGCCGGCCCATGCCCGCCGCAGACCAGCCAGACCGGCCAATGAAACTGTCAATTAACCTTTAAACGAAGCTAAGAAAATGCGAAAGTCTGACGATTTGCGAAACTACAGTCCATATCGCCTACACATGCATTATAATTACTAAAATAATTTTTTTTATTGTTGTTATATTGTACTTTTATTATACTATTATTATTTACAAAAACTGAAATTAAATTAAATTTAAAGATAAATACATTTACAACTTAAACTAGGAGCTTAGTCTTATTTACATTTCATACTATTTAATTTAATCTATTGGCAAGTTCGTGTTCTCACTAAGATCCTCCTTTTATGCGCCTTTTCAGCACACGCTTTGCACATCGTCACTAAGTTCTAGGTCCTAGTCCTAGGTCCTTTTCAATGTTTGCCGTTTTAGCTTGCATTACATTTTGTTTGACTTTACAGATTCAAAAACTGTTGACTTCAGGCACACCATTTGTTATCATTGATTTCTGATATTATTGATTTAAAAGGTATATTCCTTCAAAGGTGTTGACAAATCAAAAGTAGCATAATTCTATTAAACACCTAATTTTCTAACGGGTCGGAGGCATTAATAGACGTTATTGTATAGTTTTTTTCTTAGGGTTTCTTATTTTTTAAGTTGAAAATATAACATCCTATATACATATTTATTTTCCAATTTATGTTTGTATGCATGTTATCCGTCATTAACTATCGAAATAGGAGCTTCATAACCACCAATAGGAATCACACCATTCAACCCGTCTCTGATTGATTCTGATTATTAAATTCTGAAATTGTCTTACCTTTTGTAGTGAATGTAACTTGATAGATAAATAGAAAATAAGAAAGGGCTTTTTTGTACAGCTTTTAAGGCATTTATTTTACAATACTGCAAGTTGATGAATGTAAGGCTACATATGTATGAACATACTTGTACCAATGCCGACTCCGTTTATAAATAGAATGCAACAGGATTTCATGAAATGTATGCATTTATTATTTATAAATATTTATAATATATTGTGATTTTTTTTTTTCATAGAATTAGAATTTCTTAAAAATACTTAGATAAACTTACGAGCAGAACTACAAGAAAATGTGTATGCAAAAGTCTGAATTGTAATTGTCTGGCTCATGATTTGATATTCATGCAAGCAATTTCGACTGTAATTTTCGTAGAGCCGGACCCATATTCTTGCCTGGTTGGGCTTATCGCAGCACATGCCAATTGGGAAGCGATACGAGCGGGCATTTACACAGAATGCTTCAGCCGCTAATAAAGATCTCAAAGCGGTGGCTGTCAATTGGAAAAGTTGCGGTGGAAAACACAACAAAAGCAACAACCGCTGCAGACATTAAAAAATGTAGAAAGAAGTGGGGCGCGCGTGGCCAAGTAGAAAACCAGCGAAACAACAAGCACACCACCCCACCACCGCACCGCACCGTATCCCACCCCACCCCACTGCGAGCCCCCTCTGGCAAACAACGCTTTGTGAACTCAAACTGACAAAACGCTGCTATTTCCAATTGTGCTATTAATCTGCCACATTTGCACTTCTCCACACAACTTAAAAAAGTGTAGCAGCAATGAGCGGGGAGAGAGAGCGAGCGAGCCGAGCGACAGCCCTATCTAACAGTGCGCTGCAGAGAGGGAGGGAGTGAGAGAGCGCGAGATGGAGGGTGCGTGCGCGCAAGCGAGACGGAGATGACGCGGAAATGTTAAACGAAAATAGAAGCAATCAAAATAAAAACACATTCACATAATAAAAAACCCCAAAAGCAAAACGTTTTACATTTAAAATGACGTCGTCAAGCCAAAAGCTCCTCCAACAGTACAAATGGAGCGAAGAGTGCGGGCGCATTGCGGACTCGCGCGTTCGCCAATGAGAGCGCCGAGCGACGCCCACTGCTTTGTTGCCGGCCAGTGCTGCCAAGTTGTGTGCAGTGGATAAACCTGTTTAGCAGAGCCAATGCACAGCACTGGCGGGAGAGAGATGGCCACACAGCTTCTCGTTCCAACAGTGGGTGGAGTCTGATGAATGAGCGAACAAGTGCGCTTGCGACAGGGTAGTGGTGTTGGCGTCGGTTAGGAAGGCAAGAGGCATTTATTATGGTAGGTTAGGTTTAAACAAGGTGGCAAACAGGCTCGTTAACCAAATAGGAAGGAAGCAGTCGTCGCAGCAGCAGCGACGCTCTTGAAACTGGTTTGGCTTGTTCCGTCGCCGTCGTCGTCGCCGTCGCCGCTTCAAGGGGTGACTCCTGCCGCTTACTGTTTATTTGGCTAACAAGCTGCGCACTGTTCGGCCGCATCGACTTCGACATCGGCATATATTTTGATTGCATTTATGAAAAGCGTTTTCGTTCGCTCGCACGCGCCCTCTCGCAGCTCGCAACTCGCAACGCGGATCTTGTGACTCGCTTTTTAGTCAACGGCAGCACTTCAATTTGTCGAGTCGAGTTTTCTGTTCTGTTTTCAGTTCGAGTCTGGTAAATGCAAAGTCTTTAGCGTCGTGACAAGCGGAAATGCCAGTGACTTACTTAATCGTGATTAATTAGGCTCAGCGGAACATCAACGCCCGCTCGTCTTGTGTGTGTGTGTTTAGTGGTCCTTATAAAACTAACGAGTATTCCAAACAAGTGAAATAATTCCCAATACATTATCACTGAAATTTAACACGGATTTTTGACTACTAATTATTCGGTGATTTTTGCGTGTCAACTTGTTTGAGTGTTAATTGAGTTGGTGTGGGAATTGTGTTACCAAATTGGCGCCACTCATCGTCTTCAACATGTCCAGTCACGAGGAGGATGAACGCGACGATGTTGAGGAGCAGGAGATACATGTGGATGTCGATTCTGATTCACGTATGTCATGCGGCAGCGGCTCAGATGTGGATATGGATGGCGGCAGTTGTTACGACGAATCAGAAACACCTCTAAGGTGAGCCACAAATGTACATACATATATATATAAGGTTAAAGTTACAGCTAATCTAGGAGCTAATCTAGGAGCAGGCCTTACATAATATTTTTGTGTGAATAGTATGTTACAAGAGTAAGAAATGGAAGCTCACACATATGTAGCTTAAGCAGAGCAATTGTTGCTTTGAAATTGGAAAGGACCTGCGATATTTGTCAAAGAAGGAAATCCGTACTTATATATTATAATGTATGTATTTATATGTAAACCAAGTAATATTTCGTAGTACCAGGGCATATTTTGTATTACTCTATATAAATAATAATTATAATGCCATACAAACTCAAACTTACTTATTCAAATAGATGGACCTTTTAAGCGCCTTTTATCTCAATTGAGCTTTTCCATTTAAAGAGATGAAGAGCCTTTTCGCAGTTTAATCATCCAATCTAAGCACATAAGTACATAAAAAACTATAAAGCAATTATAAAAGTCGAATATGTAAATATATATCCAATATCCATGTATCCTATTTATGCAAAATATAGGAGAGATTATATTGACATCTTTCGTTAGACTTGTGATAAGTGTTATTCGATCGAGTTTTGTTGAAGTCTTAAATTTGTAGAAGAAAAGAGACTGCATTATAGTTGAGGCATGTTATTTAATCCGGTTAAGTGAGATTGAGTTTATGTAGAACCAAGCTTACTAACTTAGGACTTTATTTCAATTGCAACTTATTAAATACTTCAATAATGGAAATATAAATCAATTCATACATAATTTAAAACAATGTTTTGCAATTAAGAAAGTTCACAAAATATTCCAGTTCATTATTTTTTCAAATTTTTTAGTATCACTAATAATTTTGTTATGGAATTTATAAGAAAAAGTGTTAATTTGTTAAATCTATGGTGATACAAGCAAATATTTTGTAACTAAGAAATCTTTATTAGAAATATGTCGGGAAGTTTATATTATTCCAGTGAAATACAATAACAATGATATACTTTGCAAAACTTAACGAATTCGCGTTGGATTCCACGGTTAAGGTTATCTTCTTATACTATATAAACAATATTCATAAATTGCGTTTATTTGACTTTATTTGACAATTTTGCTCTTTTATAAATAAGCTGATTCATTTATTTGCTTTTATTATTCATAACTTGAGTTTTATATAATTGATTATTATTTTAATGAATTAGTTAGTATTCATATAATTTTTAAATGAATTTCGTTATTAAATTCTGACAATAAATATATGAAAGCATTTAAATGCACATTCCAAACAAACTCAAAGTCAGTCTAACTATTGACTTAGCATTTCCGATTCGAAAGAACGTGCTTTCGCTCGCTCGCCTTTGTTGCCACAATCGATAACAAGCGCAACTAACAAGCTGCCACAAGCCGAGAAAATTGACATTGAATGGGAGATCGAAAGACTATCCGCCGGGCAATAGCTTGCAACGATTTCGATTGACGGCGTGAACAAACCTCTAAAACGCTAATGAATTGCTTTAGTTATAAAACGGCAACGAAACCGAAAGACGAAAATGTTCAGAATGAAATTCAAAGTGCTCAATAAAAGCCAAAACTCCCTGAATTTGAATAGTGTAAGGCTTTAGTGTACTATGAGACTGTCTTCGCATCCCGCCGTCTTTAACGATAAAACGCACATTAGCAAGGCGCCAAAAAACGCGCGCTGATAACAAATTCCCCCAAATGGGCCCAAACGAGTTCGAAACAAAGCCACAGCCACAGCCACAGACTGAGACTGGGATTGAGACTCAGAGGCAGAGTCAGAGTCAGTCGCAGTCGCAGCCACAGTCGCATTCGCAGTCAGAGATTAACATTTTAATAGAGCGGACCATAAAAATGCCATAAAATGCTGGCTACGAAGAATGTGGAGCAGAAACCACAAAAGCCCGTTGACGTTGACAAAGCCAAAGAGTTCGATTCAATGGTTATATTGATGTGCGTTATGCTTTATAACAAGTTTTCTCGCATTTAGGCTTTTGTGTTGGAAAGTGTAGGCATCGTAAAAACCCATTTAAAAGCAACCTCAATAAATTGTGTTAATATTTGTTTAAAATTAAATGCCGTGCGTGACTTGTTGGATCGCCAAACGACTCCACTCTGAGGGCCCTCGTTTGATTTATAGAATCATACAAATGCGTCTAACGGCCAAAAGCATTTGCATAATTACTTCATTTTGCACGGCCAGTCGTTGATAACTGATATTTGTCGGCCTTTTATATTTTTCTACTTTTCACGTTGCGTATACGCCGCATGTGGCGGGCAATTGCTGTCGTCGTCGTCGTCGTCATCGCCGTCGGCAGCGACTCTTGGCTTGGCCTGGCAGTTGAACATGATTTCTGCATGTTTCTGCAACACGTTCGGTTGCCTTATCAGCGCCAGAGACTGGCGTGGGCAACTACCAACAACAACAACAACAACAACAACAACAAGAACAACAAACAACTTTTGGGCCAACAGTCTGCAGTCTGGCGCTTTAATTATTAATTTGTTCTCAGGCATGTTTTTTTGGGCCACGACGTTTATCGGGCGACACTTTTCAAATTAATGAAGCAAACTCATTATGTTGCACAGCAAATAATTCGCATATAAACGTATCTCTTAAATGCCAAACTAGTTTACGTTCAAGGGCTTAATAAAGGGATATACTTTATGTTTGTTTTAGGAAAAACTTATTGTGGAAGATTCCAGTTTTTGAACATACATTCAAAGACATTTTTTTTTTAATAATTGCCATTCCTTTTTCACGCACTCGAGCAAGGCAGCAGATGTCAACAATTGTTAGCTCTGGTACTCATTTATTTCTGTTTGTAGATGAAAGGACTGATAAGTTACTGCATTAGTCACTTAAGATCTTAAAAGCATTCAACATGAAAACGCACAATGATTGTAAACGCAATATGTACTAGACGGTTTAAGCCTTACAGGCAGATTTCTTTTATAGAATTTAAAAAAAGGGAAGGAAATATTAGTTATCCAATTGTATTTGACTAAACAAGTTAAGGTTTAACTTAAAAGTTAAATCAACATATTCAGAGAATGTCCTATTCCTTTAAATCTTAAACCATTTAGTTCTTAGAAGCCTTTAATCAGGCCTACATCTAATACGACTTGACATTAATGATACTAAGACAATCGAAAGATCAACTTTCAAAACATAAATCGGTACTTAATTACTTTAAATACTTTCATAAAAAATAAATACTCGCATAAAAAATATTAAATTCAATTATTAAATAAATTAACTTACAATTACAACAGTTTTAATTGAAAAGATTGAATTCAAAAATTGAAATTGAGATTGATAATTAAATTACAATTTATTTTCTTTAAATAAATAAATATCAAAAATATTTACATAATTAGATTTATTTTTTGAAAAACTACTTAGAAGTCTTTAAATATTATTGACATACAATTTAGGAAATTATAAATATGTATATATGTATATAAAACTTTTTGAATATTAATAATAATAGATAACTTAAACATTATTTAATTTAAAATATAAATAAAATAAAATATATTAAAATTAATAATAAAATAATAATTTATTAAAATAAAACTCTTCCCTATTCTTTGGCATCTTTGGTCAAATTATAAATGAATATAAAAGTAACTTATTTATAGTTATTATTATCTTAAATTTGTTTAATGAAAATTGTATGTTTCTAGTGACTAGTGCATTAATTTATAAGAATTTATTTCTTGTTGCACTAGGAAATAATAATAAAATAATAATAATAATAATAATAATAATAATAATAATAATAATAATAATAATAGTTTGTTATCGTAAATTATTCTTAAGCAAGTCCGGCTTCTAAAGTTTTTAAAACACATATGGTTTCTTTTAAGTACACAATACCAGAATCAAGATCTATAACAAATAACTGTGTAGGTTTTTGGAATATCGATTAATCAAAAGTCTCAAGTAATTACGAAATTTGATAAGTACATAAGTTGCAAACTAGTACTGCCTTAAAAGAATCATATTCCTGCAGAAACTAATCCACCTGCTTCCCAATTTTTTTCCTTCCCTACATATCAGCGAATCTCTGCAATCGGAACAGACACGCTCCTCATCTAGCGAAAATCTCCCCTTCAGCATATCACGCCTGCTATCCAAACCCTTCGAGACGAATAACAATCATCACAGTAACAACAACAACAGCAGCAGCAATGGTAGCAACAACAACAACAACGGCGCCGACAAAGGCGCCGAAGACAAAGATCTTCATGCCGATGATCACGATCTTGCCGCCTATAAACTGGCCACCAGCATTGCCAACTCAACATACGGCAGTGCCGCCGCTCTCTACACCTATCCCCATCTCTATCCCTCGGCAGCGGCCGCCGCGGCGGGACATGTGCTGCGTGTGCCGCCCCAACGCACGCCCCTCACTTGGGCGCTGCCGCCGCTGCACCACGCAGCGTTGGCTCATCAGGCGGTAAAGGATCGCTTGGCAGGTGAGTCCCAAACCACAAAACAAAGCGTCCCAGAGTTCCCCCAGCATGGGGTTGTTGTTTCGTTTTGTTTTTCGGCCTTTTAATGGGCGTGCACTTAAAAGTTGTGCGGCCTCCGAAGAACCAAAGCACACGTGCAACGGTAGCAACAACAATAACAACCACAACATCTTGACAATAACAAGCGGCTACTGTTTGGCATAATGATTAGTGTGTGGCACGCACAGCCACCACACTCTGAAGAGAGATGCGTTGCAATTCATTCGCTTATTAAAATTTTCAACACACAATGGGCCTTTTTGGAACTCTTGAGAGATTGAATTCGGATGGTGGAAATGTTAGTTATTAAATCAATAATAAAAGTTAATAACAATTGGGTGTTCCAGTGTTTAAAGTTCCATACACACTTAGTTGCTTTTTATCATCCAAAGTTCTGGCTTTTTTGAAGCTCTTACGAGAGTGAGTTCAATTGAAAATGTCCAAGTCTATATAAATATTAACAGGAATTAGCTATTTATTGCGGTTCACCTTATAAATAACAGTTAATAAGGTAAATAAAATGAGAGACGGAACTCAGAAGTTATTAAATAGGCCGTATGTTTTCCATAATTATGATAGTAAGTAATAGTAAATATATTTGAAATAATCGATAGTTTTTTAATATCATGTCCAAGCCTCTATAAATATTAACAGGATATAGCTATTTATTGCGGTTCACCTTATAAATAATAGTTCATGAAGCTAAACAAAATGAGAGACGGAATTCAGAATTTATTAATTAGCTCGTATTTTTTCCAAGCAAGCTATAATAAATATATTTGAAATAATCGATAGTTTTTTCAATACACGATTTAATAAGATCTAAAGACGCAGATTGTGTTGAGATTCTATAAAACTACTACTCCGAAAGCAGCTAAGGATAGTGCCTCTATAAGCTTTATATTTGTACAAAAGCTTTAAATCTATTATCTTCAAATAATTGTTACGTCTTTTTATAATGATTTTTGGAAAACCGATAGCTATTTTAGACTAAACATATTGTCAAAAGAGAGAAAGACAGTTATGTAGTTTTAATTTAATCCTGTGCAAAAATCTGAATATCGCCCTTGGACATTCATTAAGCCATTAAACCAACTTTTGTTAAGCTGTGTACTCTAGTATGAAAGCGGATATTTACAAAATATTTAAACGTATTTCTCTCACATGTCAGACTTGGAAAACATAAATTATTCTATGAGTTTTCCATTTCAATCAACATAAAAATATTCTCAAATTAAAACCTTAAAAAGGACTGTTTTCCTACATAGATTTTACGAGTAGAAAAGAGTAGAGAACAATAAGAAATATTGGACGCATTCATCAGAACTCTATGATCTGTAATCAGTGGAGAACAATTATTTATACCTGATCATGATATGTCAAGGCATATCATAGCTAAAGAATAAATTGAAGCTTTTGTTACAAGTAGCTTAAATAAATTAACTTATATATGTATTGTATTCAAAAAGATTTTTAAATTTTGATTAAGTTATCAGATTAGAGGAGAATTATATATGTGTGGCTATACGAATTGTGGTTATATACTTGTATATTCTTCCATGTAGTCGGTCATTGCATAGACGCTTCACAATAACATTGGACAGCAATGGAATGAGATGGACATGGAATATATATTGTATAGACATCAAAGAAATAACAAAGATCATATTTATAGTAGAAAAGAGGCACAAGAGCTTGACTTTAAAAAAGCCTATAGACTCAAACTATAGACCCAGCAGAAGTATACATATACAAGTAAATCACATTTTCCTATAACTGAAATGCCTTTAAATGAAGAAACCGTCGTGTATTGTCTCTCTTCAAATATTAACTAACAATTTCAATAATTTTTAAAATATATAATACAAAATTGTAACAAAACAGACCATTGTGCTGATCTGAAATGCGATGGCTTCGCTGAACTCGGCTTTGTAACAAATAGTTGAATACTGTTTTTTGAATATTCTTTTTAAATTGTTCCCATTGTGGGCTGGGCCGCCCGGCTTGATCGGAGCGCGCACGTGAACGTCACACTAATAAGCACGATCAGAGAAGTCTTTTAAGCCAACATGCCTATCGGCATGTCATTGCGACTGCCTACATGAGGCCCGCACACACGGACACACACTAAGCCAGACACACACACAAACAAACACACTAAGACAGACAGATCGAGGAACGTGAGCTGCAACCCTAAAGTATAAAAACATGTTTGCCTTCAAATGCGCAATCGCAGCTTAAGTTAAAAACTTAACGCTGTGCCACCGCCCAGAAGTGCGCTCTCCTGTTTGGCGATGCGCATTTGCATAACCCAAACAGGAGGAAGGAGGCAGCCAGCAGCCAACAACCAGCAACCAGCAGGCAGCATCCTTTGACTGCCTTTTGTTAATTTGTTTACATTATGAGCTTCACTTGTATGTACAAACACGAACGCGCATCACGAGCCGCTTAAATAATGAGCTGGCGTTGATTTTATTGCGTTTGACTTTATCAGTTGGCCTGAGAGGAATAATCAGTCTCAGTCTCAGTCTTAGTCTCGGCCTGGCTATAAGTCATATTTGGCATTTCATTTTAGTTTTTTTTTTCCACTTCGGTGCAACAGTCAAAAGCAGCTTAGGAAGTTCTTTTAATGTCTGTCCTCCCAGCCCTGCTCCCGCGTTTGTCTTTTATGGCTGCCGAAACAACAACAACAGCAACAACATCCGCTGATCAGCAAGCGGCTCTCTCTTAGTTATTTTAATGAGCTGGTTTACATGACTTTTTAATTTCGCGCAGAGTCGAAAGGAATTAATTACGCATTGGGCGGTCCTCAGACTCAGAGTCACTCGCCAATTTATCGCACATACCACACTTCAATTTGGAGCAACAGCTGAACTGACAGAGGCAGCTTTTAATTAGTCAGCACCGCACCACTACTCGTACTCGTACTAGAGTAGTAGAATTTTTCTTTTAATTTTTCAGAAAGAAAAAAAAAAACGCTGTCAAGCTAGAGATGGGCATGGCAAGGACTGTTTCTATCCAATGCGACACAAGCACGGACGCACTCACAAATGTTTCTTAACACAAAACAGAAATTTAGGGATATGCGGATATATAGTTTTTCAAATCGTATTACAAAAAGAGACTGACATTTTTAATAAAATTTAAAAAAATATTTGACTTAAAGTACATAATAGGAAGATCCCTTATTTTACACAGTTGTTCAGATTAATTAATTATTACTAAAAATTCCACATTAAGAAAAGGAAGATGATTGACATTTATTTTTAATTAAATTTAAAATAATGTTGTTTTGACTTAAAGTTATAGGAAATCCCTTATTTTAGACAGTATTTCAGATCAATTAATTATAAGTAAAAAAATTTACATTAAGAAAAGGTAGACAGATTTTACTTTTAATTAAATTTTTAATAATGTTGTTTTGACTTAAAGTAATAGGAAGATCCTTTACTTTACAAAGATTTTAAGAGTAATTAATTATTAGTGAAAATTCCATATTAAGAAAAGGTAGACAGATTGACATTTATTAGGTATGAGACTACTCTTACAGAATATTTAAAACTGCTCTCATACTCAGGAAACGAACTCACATTATGGGATTCCTGTTAGTTCGTTGAGCTGTGCCAGGCCCAAGGTAGATTGGTTCCAGAAACAACCGTGTAAAAAAGACATTGGTGATTGGTTCCTTATCTCTAAAGAAATATATATGAAACTTTTAATTTTCAAACCGTGTTATATCAAAATCGTGTAAAAAAAGACCGTTTAAAAGCAGAATTAGGTGTCATTGAAAAGTTGATTGTTCATGTCCATGGCACAGAAGCACTTTCACGATGGAAGAAGAAGAAGAAAAACGCGAGTCATGTCCATCTCTATGTCAAGGGCCAGACGGCAGGCACACTTTCGAGTGCGCGTCAGAGTCCGAGTGCGAGTGCGAGAATGAGAACGCGAACGCGAACACAAACAACGGGTTAGCCTGTAACGAACAGGAGCGACAACTGCTCAATTTTTTGTCGTTTTGTCAACCACTCTTCGTCAGATGTTTCGTACACTCCCGCTCTCCCGCTCCCACTCTCTCTCTCTCTCACACACACTCTCTCTGCAGTCACTCGATTGCTGTGCGCTGCGGTCGTCAATGTCTTGTTTTGTTTATTGTGTCGCTTGCCTTGCGCTGATAAGCTGGCGCCTTGGCTTTTTTCATTAACAAGACAAACGACTTCGGCTTACGGTCAGCTCAGCAGCTCAGCAGCTTACGGCGGCGCTTCGACTGCAGTTTTGACCCCTCATGTAGCGCCATATGATTAATAACCTTTGCGCTGGTCGTTGGTCGCATTTTAATTTGAATACCAATGCCGCGTCGCGCTGACAGACGCGCAGCGGGCGCCAATTACGAGTCGAGCCCTTTGTGAAATTTCATAACCCATTCAAAACTATAAACAGCACTCTGGCCTGATTTATCTCCACTGCATCTATATGTATTTATACTCCTGAGCTACTACCTACCTGGACTTTAAGGTCAAGTGCTTGGGATGTGGCGCACATTGCGCCTACGCCGGATGGGGCGGCCGCAGAGCCACAGAGCCACAGGCTGGCGTCGCCATCAATAATGCATGCTAAAAGCTTTTTGCATTATTTTACGTATTTTGAAGACAGTTTACAGACAAAAAGACAGAACGACAGACAGGCAACCCCAAGCCTAAGCTCACAGCTCTCAGCTCACCGCTCTCAGCTTGTGCTCAGTACGAATAAGTATCTTTAAGATACAAAAACACAACACAGCAGCACGGCACAGAAGGAAAAATCATAAATAAATGTGTAGCTCGCATAAAATGACGCGGCAGGCAGCCGCCGGCCTGGCTATAAAATTATGCTTATGTGGCTTCTGGCGGCATGCTTGCTTGAGATCCTTTCCGTCTTTCCGCCTTTCCGCTTTCCGCCTCAAGGATATGCCCGAGCACTTTTGCCAGGGATGTGCGCAAATCATGTGCGTGGCCCAGCAGCTTATGTGGTGCGATAAATGGCTTTTTATTGAAATTGATATTGGTTAAAATATTAAAATGCCGATTTGGGGCACATCCCATCCCATCGATGTGGCCGTGGCCCATGAGAAATGTACGCCAATGCCGCTCTAACTTATGGATACGAGTATACGAGTATTTCTGGTATTTATGTGCGCTCGCTCGGGAAAGGGTTGAAGCCGCTCTTAGACATTGTGTGATGTGAAAGCGTTGCCAAAAGCTGAAATAAAAAACATGATTTGTCAGCTTAACACTCACCATACATTTGGCCATGATATGTGAAATGTGGGAGGGCAGCCATTTTGTGGGGGTCTCTCAATTCCAATATGGTTGCTTAAGGGAACATAAAACTTCTATACACTTTACCGGCTGAAGCTGTAGTTTACGATTGGAAATTTCATATGCTTAAGCAAGAGATTATTCCACTCTCAATTTTATTGGCATACATGTATGTTTATTCGTGTATACCCTTGATAGCTGTTTAATGTGATTGCTAAAAGAGCCGATTTACATATCTGCTAAAATACATAAACAAATGATTTGTTATAGCAATGGTAGCAACATATAAGCTGATTATACATTCTGATATTAAATATGTTGCTTTGAAAAATTGATCTTCTGAACTTTATTTCGAATAGTAAACAATTGCTTTTCAAAGTAGACATACATATGTTGAAGGACAACACAATAATATATAATATATTGCTTGATTTATAAACATTTTCAAGTAAAATGATTCGCTTTAATTAAGCAGCCCATCTGACAACTTTATTTATTTCTGTTATTACTTACGTTTTATTTAAACACTTCAATACATAAAGCATTATTTTTTATGGCTTTTTGTGACAATGTTGTTGAAATTCCATTCGCATTATTGGAGTCACTTGGCACGCTCTCTAAGAAATATACACACACGCAAAAAACCAAATTTAACGAACTTTTAATTATTGGAAAGGGACAGCAGCGTCAAATGGCAAAATTTAAATACTAAGAGGATCGAGGACTCTTCCGGAGTACGCCTGGAACAGTATAGGCTAGGATAAGACGGCTGATCAAGAGAGAGTCGTTATCATGCCGCTGTGTTCTGGTTCCTTCGGAGAGACTAGTTTCATTCCAACTTTTTCGCTGTCTGTTCGGTAGTTCCCTTACCAGCTCATCTACAGTGCAGCTCTGCTCAATATTTCCGTGTACCGGACCCCATATGGGGTTGAATTTATTCTTATTTTAAAACCATAAAGAAGAAGCTATGCGTAACACCAAAGATTCTGCAGACAACCTGTTCTGTTTAGTTTCCCTCTGCAATGCTTAAATTTTCTTTTCTTTATATTGTCTGTAGACATTGAATTCTCCAGGTTAGATAAGATAGATTTAATAATTACATTTTAATAAATTACCATTTAAGAAACTACATAATAGCTCAACCATTGGCAAACAAATTTCGCATTTATAATATAGGGAGGGATTTGTGATCGGTAGTTCCTTACCAGCTCGTCTACAGTGCAGCTCTGTTCAATAATTCCGGAACTCATATGGGGTTGAATTTTTGTTTTCATTAAAACCTTACAAGAAAAGCTATGCGTAACACAAAAGATTGCCCTCTGCAATGCTTAAATTTTTTGTTTGTTTATGTTGTCTATAGATATTGAATTCTCCAGGTTAGAAGATCTAAATTAGACAATTACATTTCTATAAATTACTTTGTATATTAAAAATTACAATACCTACTCAGGAAACTAAAAAATGGCTCAATCATTGGCAAACAAATTTCGAATTTATACTATGGCTACGCTTTATCAGTTATTGCCAAAAATCTGTCGACAATCTAAGCCATATAATGTGGAGCTGTTAGATCCAAGTACTAAGTAGTTTGCTAAATTTCAAATGGAATCGCAACCAAATGAGCCGTTTGTCGCATGACCTCAACCATAACGTTCAAGCCGGTTTTTTTTTTTTGCTAAATGGGTTGTCGTTGTTGCTGTTGTTGTTGTAGCAACGACGACGACGACGACATCGTTTTAATATTTTGGTGACTGCGCCAGGCTTATCGCGCCCAATAAACAACAGCAGCAGCAACAGCAACAACAAAAACAACAACAACAACACGCACAGCAAAGTGAGGCGACTGTGAGGCAGGAATGTTAAAAGGTTCAGCGCCAGCCGCCACTGTTTGCCAGACAGGCCAACGCCTGCGCCTAAGCGAAGGTAGAACCAGAACCAGAGACAGAGACAGAACAGAGAACAGACCTGAGACTTAAGACTGAAGACTGACTGACCATGTCCAGACATTGGGTCACTTACGCATCCTAACCTTATGACTCAACCTTAGAGCGGACTGAATGAATGAAACCGATGTCGCGTGCTTTGTCTACAAAACAGATAGATAGAAGGGTCCGAAACGGACCCAGACCCAAACCCAGACCGATCAGGCTACGACTACGACTCTATGATAAAGGCTGGGCCGCAGCAATTAGGCAGAGTCAGTGACACTTAAGGGCTGTGCCCTTTAAATTGATTTCACGCAGGTAGCCGGATAGTTAAGTACTTGAAAGATGCCTCGAGACAGGTGCCCGTGTCGGCGGAAGTAAATATCGGAAATTGCTTGTTATCTTGCCTAGAATTGAATTCTCTGTCTGCTAATTGCTAATTGCCCGTCAAGTAAGCCACTAAATGCTTTTCACTTTCTTCTCTTGTAATCCTGCACAGCTGCCTTCCCCATTGCACGTCGCATTGGACATCCCTACCAGAATCGCACGCCGCCCAAGCGAAAAAAGCCGCGCACCTCCTTCACGCGCATTCAGGTTGCCGAGCTCGAGAAGCGTTTCCACAAGCAAAAATATCTGGCATCGGCGGAGCGAGCGGCACTCGCACGCGGCCTAAAAATGACAGATGCCCAGGTGAAGACGTGGTTCCAGAATCGGCGCACAAAATGGAGGTAAGCTGACAAGCGCCGCTATAAATTAGTAATCGTACTAGTACTTTGAAAAAAGCAAAAAAAAAAAGAAGAAAATCAATAGTTGTCACGACGCCACTCTAGACAAATCGTGTGAACAGCTTTTAAGTCCCCGTCACCCCCACTCCCCTTTCCCGTTACCTACCTTTTTTATTTTAACTAAAATACACAACAAAGCGGGCCCCGCTTTTCCTAGTCTAGTGTTGGGTTTGGGGGGCGTAAAAGGCTCATTAAATATTCATGAGCACATTAAATGAAAACGCGCAGCCACACACACCCCCGTTACAGGGTTGGCAGTCCAAGGGGTGGTTGCTGCATTTTTATAACACGATAGCAACAACAACAACATAAACCCTGACTGTGCTTTACAGTTACATGCTAAGTAGCTGGCTCCGGTTTGTTGTTGGCCTGACACTTGACTAGCAACCGGAAAAATGGGAATAGAGTGTTAGCTAACAATTTATTTTAGAGTAGCGCTTCAATTTCCCATACCTTCTTAACTAACCCCTTTAATCGCTCTAGATATTATAATCATTTGAAATGTGGAAATAAGAACAATATGTGGCAATTGAGATTTTAATCAAACTGACTGATCTTTGACTAAAACTCTAAAGAAAGCTTTGTTGCCACAAAGTTTTCATTTATATAAGGGATTACTTTATTTAAAATAAATAATCTTAAAAAAGGAATAAAGTGTTACCTTACAATTTATTTTAGAGTTTAGCTTCATTTTTCATACCTTCTTTTACTAGCCCCTTTAATCGCTAATAGTATAATCCTTAGAATTGTGGAAATAAGAATAATATGTTGCAATTGAGATTTTAAACAAACTGTCTAATCTTTGACTAAAACTCTGAAGAAAGCATTGTTGCCACAAAGTTTTCATTTATATAGCGAAGCACTTTATTTAAAATAAATATTCTTGTTTAGGTAAGAATACAGAAGACAATATACACACAATTCTGTTTTTACACGGTACATTGGTTCCAGAAAAATTCGTGTAAAAAAAGACATTGATCATATGTTATTTTGAATCGTGCTAAATGGAATAAGGTTTTGCAACCATGTATAACATTTATAATTTTCAAACCCTGTTAAATCAAAACCGTGTAAAAAGAGAATCAGGTGTAATGTAAATTTCAGATTTTTTATCGACAAAATATTTCCAAGTTATTCCATAAATATTGTCAATTGATTTGTATTTCAATCGAGAAATCACAGAAACTTGTAAAAAACAGGAGGCAGTTCTATCTTTTAAAATAAATAAATTATTATAATATTTTAAAATATTTTTTCGTTAGCAGACGAATAGCCTGCTTTATTCAGTTATGTACGAAATAAAATTGAAAATAGTTAAGAGAATTTATGTAGAATTTCTTACTGACCATAAGGATATTGAATTTCTTTGCCAACCTAAAGAAAAAATTCCATACACCAGCTGTCCACCGTTTTATGTTTTGATTTACAATCAAATTTAGGGTTTCTCGTTAGTAAAAAATATAAAAACACAGACTGTCTTTATATCTAACAAAATTCAAAAGAAAGATTGTTGAAATTATTGCCTCATATTCAAGATTAGTTTAAACACTTTTTTGTTTTATTTGCGGCTTAGAATTTATTTATTATTTTGGAAACGTTTTAAATTAAATCTTTGAATGAACAAAGGTTTTTCGTTGGATTAGTCATCTGTAAATTATTATATTTATTTTATTATATTACCTTAAGAACCATTATATTAATTTAATCAATATCAATTAACTAATTCAATCACATTACTGCTTTATAAAAAAATGCTTTGAAGCGGAAAAAAAGGAGATTAAAAGTTTAGAAGGCAATAAACTTATTTGTTCAATCTGATATCATATCGGATGCCACATTACAAAAGACCAAGTTATACTTGTATATAGATATTTATTTTGTATTTAAACATTTTGAAATTATGGTTTTGTCAGCCATACAATACAATAATGTCGCAGCTTGATGAAAAAATATAGTTTTTGATAGACAAAATGTAATATTCAGAAATTACAATTGCACACTTTATAATATTTGTTCGTTAATTCAAAATAATTGACCTTTATTTGCTTAAGTGAGTTAGATTTTTAGTTAAAGCTTTCTTACATCTTTTATGCACCATCTTATTAAAATTTCAATTCAATTTCAAATTCAATTTCAAATTCAATTTAATTAAAAATTAAAAACAAACACTTTTCAGCTGGCAATTTAATTAGTAACATTTTTAAAAACACATTTTTAAAACACTTTTCAAGTCCCAACAAATATGTTTTTCCGTTCAATAAATGCTTTATGGACGTACATATATCACATGATATTAAAGTTATTACAGACAGACAGACAAACAGACACACACATTATGCGAGTGATTTACATTCTGATTTATGGCGCATATGGTGGAAACTTTCCACAATAGTTGTGTGCATGAACATATGTATATATACACATATATCCATGCATATACTAAGCAATTAATTTTGCTGCCTTATCGATGCTTCCATGAATAAGTAAAGCGCTTATTTGTCTATAATTTTATGAGGCAGTGAGGCGTTGAGTCGCTTGCGTGTCTCTAATTAGTTTCTATTTTATTATTGCTGTTAAAATATAACAATATGGAGTCACATTTACATACATACATACGAGTATATATGTAGGTATATATGTCAGTTATTATCGTTATAATGATGACTGTGTTTATAGAGCGGCAACTAAATGGACAAAGTTTACAAAGTGCCGCCAACTTTGTCGACAAAAAGAAAACAACAAAGAAGCAAATAAACGTACACGCCCAGGCGACGGCGACGGCAACAACAACAACTGCACATTTAAGACGCGTTAATTGCCGCTTACCAGGCCCGTTCGGGCCTCTCGGTTTATCAGCCATTTTGGGCCTATTTCAGCTCGTAAAAATTAATGATGTAAAACGCAGCCACGGCTCGTTTGTGGCTAAGTGAAATGGCAACATTATATAATGCCGAGTCGTGCCATTATGTACATGAACTATACAGCTATGTATATGCATGTGTACGCGTGTGTATGTGTGTGTGTGTTCGCGCTCGTAAACATTATGTGTAATTTAGTTAAATGCAAAGCTGCAGCTCGCTGGTAATTTGAATAATTAGCAACGGCGAAAAATTCCAACATGGCGTATGAGTTATGAGCATTAAAGATTGCCGAATGTACTTTTAATAAATTCGAGCTCATAACCCGTTCGACAAGCAATTTAACACACAGCACGAAGTGGGGGTACGACAGACTTCTCTAGAGATATTCGGTGTTGGAAAAGATTTTATTCCCAAAGTTGAAATATAAACTATGGTCTAAACCTTAAATTCTTTGAACAAACTTAAGCTATTTCCGTTAGGGTAGTTCTATTTGCGGGTTATATTAAAAAGCTATATGTAAGTAAGAGTGAAAATAGTTTTATAATACTTTACATTCTTTTAGCAATATAGGTTGATCTACAATTTTTGATAAGCCTCTTGTATTTGTAATAAGATAGAAATTAAAGCTTGGAATAGTGTGCTATCAAAAGTTGGACAGCCCTTATCTAAGCGGGAAGTTTTCGAATTATACGACCTAATAACAAAGACTAACGAAAATAGAGAAAAATTGTCTTTACCCGTATTTAGTTACATATTTCTCTTTTAGCTCGATACAGATTCTATAGCTTCGATATCCCTTTTTAGTCGCAGACAAAACTTTTTCAGTGCAAACCTTTTGCCCCTCGAGCCATTTTTCCTAATTTGAAAAAGGAAAGGAGCCTGAGAAACCAATTCGAGCTATAGAAAATTAATAAGAAATCTGTGGGTGAATACAATATTTCGAGCTATAGAAAATTATTAAGAAATCTTTGGCTTTAATACAACAATTCGTTAATGTAAAACTTCTATTTAAATATTAAAGATTTTAAACCCATAGAAAGTGTTTTTTTGCAACACCTAGCAATGAAATGAATTTGAAACTCTTGAATACGTGATTTCTGTGACACCGCTGATATGTGCTTTTATCGCTTCTGTTTCTGCTGCTTTTTTTATTTAACGACATTATTATTGTCAGTGTGTAATTGCTTTTATCTAAACAGTGTTGAACATTTAAAACAAAATGCATGTTTATGCGAGTAAATACAGCATTTGTGCGCAATAAATAATTAACAACACATTGCGGGCCGCAGTTTGAGCAATTGAATGAAACTTGTAGCTGTCAATTCAACAATATGCAGACAACAACAACAACAACAATGGCTCTACAGACATTTAGCAGACGTGGCAGAACACCAAGAAGGGCGGCGGCGACGGCGACGGCAAAAGAAAAATTGCCAGCCAGTGGCCATAGCATACTTTGTGGCGTTGATGCATGAGTCCTGCCAGCGCGAACAAATGGCAATGTCTGACTGTTGTCTGGCAGTAGAAGGACCTCCCAGCTAGCAGCATTTTTTTCACTTTCCTGCCATTTTGTTAGCCTGCTTTCGGTACATAATTAAATTAGCAAGACAAGGCAGGCAGGCATACAGACCCTGGGGGCCATAACTCAAATTTTTGGGCAAAACCCTTTTTAATTAGACAGAGTCGTGCATCAAATTGTTGCCAGAACTTGCACTCGCAGCAGTAAATCTTAAAGATACGCACCACACATATATCTAAATATACTTATGTGGCGACGACTGAAATTAATTGCCCGCATATGCATAAGTTATTTGGCATTCGTAGTTTTGCTCAAGTTGTTGGCAAAAAGTTGCTGGCTGTGCTGAAAGCGGTCTAATTAAAAATTTACACACACCCACAGCCACACACATGCATGCAGGCAGCGGCAGAGGAAAATCAATTTGGCTGAGAGCAAAGTTTTCCTTGGCAAAGCACTAAAAATCAAATGAAATTAATTACGGAAGCGATGCGAGCAGCACTCACTGACTGACGGCCATTTGTAAATTAACTTTGAAGCAAAAGTTGCTGGCACGTGTCGTCGTCGTCGTCGTCCTCGTCCTTGTTGTCCTTGCTTGTCGTTCTGCCAAGAACTTGAGTGAAAATCTTGGGCAAGTTTTTGTTTTTGTAAGCCTCCGGGGACGCTCCAGCCAATTAATGGCCTGCCTAAATTGTTATGTCTTAAAAGATAATTACCCAGTGCTGCCTTTTTTGGGGGCCCGACAGGGCACGGCAGAGCCCGGCAAGGAGCACTTAAGTGGCCGGCCACCAAGGATATTGTCGTAATTTGTTGACGTCGTTTGCGTGTAGTGTGTGAAATGATTTTAATTACCAGTCCTGGGCCGGACCCCCACTTCCCGACCAGCTGCTAACTGCGCGACAATTGGCTCGCTTGTAATTCATTCAAATTTGTGGCAACATTCATTTCAACTGATATGGGGCATGCCCCAAATTTATAGTATGTCTCCACCACTGCCACGCTTTAATAAACATCTTAAGCTAATGCGCGCCCATTTATCTAAGACTTTCAACAGCCGACTGACGCCGAATGGCGCCAAAAGACAAACATTTAACATTTGTGTAAAACGTTTTTACATTTCTCGCTTGGCCCGGCCAGGAGGAGGGGTGTCGGGGTTGGAAGATAAATTACCAACGTGGGCAAAGAGAGCAAACCCGAAACTGCCAGATATGGTAGTATACCAAGATATATTCAGCGATGTGTGTGAATGCCATTTGTTTTTGTTTTTTTTGTTTGCCGTTTTGGAGTTTTTAATCAATTTTCGTTGAATTTTTCATGCAGCGTCGGCAACATTTTTTTTATTATTATTATTTCTTACTTTTTTCGGTAGCTGCCGCCGCTGCGATAACGGTACAGCAGAAGAAAAAATTGGTAACACGAAATGTAAAAGCTGAGCGGTGAGCTGCTGCGGAAAAATAACTCACGAGCCGCCAAGTCTGACAAACGGCATAACTCGCACTGTTCAGCTGTGAAAATTGTAGTTATTATTCAGAGAAAATATAGAGTGTGTTGCTCAAATAGCGACTATACATACTATATGCCTATTTTGAAAATAATGAAAAGGAGAAAAGGAGAAAATATAAATTACGGCCAAGGTATGGGTTTGTGCCAGTAGCTTAGAGAAAGGGATGTTATTTGATAAATAATATATGTATAGTATATAGATGATAAAGAACCTGGTTCAGATTGTAAATGAGAACTAGCAGCAACTAAAGTGAATTTCAATAAATCAAAATTATCAAATTTATCAAAATTAATCGGAAATGATAAAGAAGAACCAGGTTATAAATGATAAATAGAAGCAACTAAAGTGAATTTCAGTAAAAAAAAATTTACTTTTTTACACTATTTAATCAAAATTCTGCCGAAATCAATTATTCATTATAAATATAATGTTGACAAGTATTTCATTTCTATTCATTTAAAATATTCAAATAAAACCGAAAAAGTATTTAGATCTAAGAGAGCCTAGCTTGCGAGTGTTCATTTAATATTTTCCGCACTATAAATTACATTGTTTTTTAAAATGATTTAGAAAGATTAAAAATTATTCATTATAAATATAATGTTGACAAGTATTTCATTTATATTTATTTAGAAGAAGAATTTAGATCTAAGAAAACTTAGCTTGCAAGTGTTTTTCCGTACTATAAATTAGATTGTTTTTTGAAATGATTTAAAAAGAGCGAATACGCAAAAGCTAAATACTGATGAGTAAATATTAATATATATTAATATTTTAATATTTACATAATTGATTTTTTACCTCTGGCAATAAAAAAGGCTCTCCATTCAACGGAAGAATTTACTTTGGATTTTTATAATAACAATTTTATTTACTAATTTAGTTTTATTTATTTATTTATTGTTAATTACTTCCTAGTGCAACAAGTGGAGTTACCTATATGTTAAGCACTAGTCACTTTAAGAACTCTGTTGCTAAACAGGGGGAGTGTCCGCTTAAGGGGATACCTTTTTTATACTCCGATCGAATGTTTTAGAAAAAGTGTCCGCCGAAGAGAGTGTGCGGATAGAAGAGGAGTCCGTTAAGGCAGTTTTCTCTATTAATTAGTTAGTTTTTAACTAGTTTATATTGCTATCAATATCTAATATAATCTATAAATCACATTCTATATTTCTAATATTTGGTCAGTTCAACCAACAGTTGGACAAAGTTTTGTGCCTCAGACACAGGCGCAGAAGTAATGCATTTTTAATGCGAACCCATTTAAGTTATGAAATTTCATTCTGAATGATGACACTGGCGATGAAAACCCTAATGAAAGCGTGTTCAACTATAATCATGACATGTGTAGGCCACGCACACACACACACACGCACACACACCTCAAACAAAGTAGATATGCATGTTATTTGAATAAATACATGCGACTAGTTGTTGTAATTACACACAAAGAGATAGAGCGAAGAGAGAGAGAGAGAGAGACAGGATTGAGAAAGGCTGCCAACATAACAACTTCATTAGCTCATGAAATATTCAATATGGCGGGCACGACAAACCCACCCCCAACTGTCCCCTGCTGCATGCATGCTATTGTGTGTGTGTGTGTGTGTGTGTGTGTGGGCGGGTGGTGATTGTAGACGGCACCACAATTAGAGCAAAAGCTGCGCAAACGCCGGCCAATGTGCAGCGAGGGCTTCGGGCTGGTGGGGGAGGGAGGAGTTGTTGCAACGAACTCTGTTCGCTCAGGCCAAATGCAATTTTGTTTTGAATTATTTAGTAGGCTCGTTTTGGCCAGAAACTGAGCTGAGCACAAATTGCAAATTGATGTCATTTGTTGTTGTTGTTATTCTTGTTGTTGTTGTTATTCTTGTTGTTGTTGTAGTACTTGCATTTAAATCCCTTTTAAGCGGCGCATTTAAAATGTAATTTAACGGCGCATAGCTGAATTGAAATTAATTTTCAAAAATTCAAACGAAAGTCGAGCTCGTTTTTGCACTTGGAATATATGATTTGATTATTTTTAAACGATTTTTATTAACCTGCACAACACACGTGTCCCACCCACACACCCCTTTCCCTGCCCCCACACATCTACACACGCACACACACACACAGAAATATAATGACTTAATGACTGGGGTTTTATTACTGTCTGATTGTCTGGTCTGGTCTGGTTTGTTCCGATTCGATTCGTTTCGATTCAGTCATCGTTTACTGTCTGCTCAATGACTGAAATTAATTTCAGACAAATGGTTTTTCAATACTTTCCATTGCTAATGAATATGTGTATTAGGCGATGCCAAGCGACAGATAGTTGTAAATGATGTCTCATTATTCTAAATGCTCGATTGAAAATCGACAAAAGCAACTCTGGTGTGATTAGTTTCAATAATTATTGTTCTATATTGATCGATAAATGCTGGGATGCTATAATATTAAGGCAATAATTGTAAACGAGTTGTGTATAAAACTTTTAGCTGCAAATCATTTAGGAAACTGGCATAAAGTGTTAGATGTTCGACAACTTTGAAAAATCAAGTGAAATTTGCCCTTGAAATTGTGTAAAATTTATTACAAATTATAAACATATCGATAGATCTCAATTTAATGCAATCGATATGCGGTAGAAGTTTAAGAGCTGCTTTCAGATAGCTGCTTACAGGCCTTTCTGCTTCCTATTCAGTTTGAAGCATCTCGAGTTGGTTTAGATTCTTAAGTTCTAACTTATCATAATTATATTTATCCAGCATTTTTATCTACATATACATTGAACATTGAATTTTCAAGCATTGTCATCCGACTCTCATAATTTCAAGTTTTTAACTCTATAACTTAACTCTATGACACCCCAAGTGTCAGCTTAAAATCAATAAAACAAATTTCACCTGAACAGGCATGGGTTTATAAAGCATTGTTAAATATAGCCTTTATAATTCCACCTTCAAAGTTTTCTGGTTGGAAAATTAATTAATTATTTATGATATGTAAAAGTTAATTATTATAGAAATGTTGTTTCTTATTATTTTAAATAAAATTCGTAATACATATTCTATTGAAACTACAGGCAGTTTTCTAAATTTTAAAATATGTTTATATACTGTACTTGTATTATTTAAATTTTATATACTTGTCTATACAGTGGGTGTCAGCATATTCAATGCAGGAATACAATAAATATTTCAATTCAGTAACTTTTGAGAGCATTGAAAATATTGAAACATTAAATTGATTGTAATTGATTATCTATTTAATAACATATTTTTTTTTTTACTTATACTACATTTTTTTCAATATCTATCAACTATTCGTTACATTTATTAACACCCTTCCACAATTTCTGTTTCACTATTTGCAGACGTCAAACAGCCGAGGAGCGTGAGGCCGAACGTCAAGCTGCCAATCGCTTGATGCTCTCCCTGCAGGCTGAGGCCATCAGCAAAGGCTTTGCGCCCCCCACCGCGCCCCTCTCCTCACAGCCGAATGTGAATGGCGCTCCCCTGGCCGCCCTCCACGGCCTCCAACCCTGGGCAGAGACGCATGCGGCGGGCTGCTAATACACACATTGTTCAAAGTAGTTGAAAGTTTATTTGTGATAAATTTTGCTTTGTAAATAGTCTAAGGAAATGGCGCAACCTTCTCTGCATTAGGCATACCAGCACCTTAAGTTATGAATTCGCGGTATTTCTGAATCAACGAAAGCGAAACACAATGAGGAAATTATTTGTGATGTTGCACATGGAGAAGTAAAGCTCATCAAACATGAAAGTTAGAGTATTTAAATAGCATTTGATTCAATGTACTCAAATGTTAGAGTACTGCAAGAATGCTTTCATTTCTTGGCACTCATTTTAACAAAGACAGACCACCCGAAACATTAAACGGATTAAGGAAAGTTGCAAGAATATGTTTTAAACTTATTTGGGTAGTCATTATCTTCAGTTTAGAAAATGTAATAAGATGTAAACATTAAATGGCAGTTCATTTGATGTTAGAGTACTGCAAGAATTCATTAATTTCTTATCAGATTCGAGACACTCAGTCATATTCATTCCATCAAAGAGTGGAGTGTACTTAAAAAAAAAGCCTAGCAACAAAGGAATTGGCAGAAACTGCAAGAATATGTTATAACTTGTTCACAATTATTTGGATAGCCATCACATCATAGATGACGGTTTCCACTCGAAACGAAATACTGTATGGCAAATAAATTAATTTGTTCTTCGTAGCTCACTACGATTTGTGTTCACAACCAATGCCAAGATGGCATAATGTGACTATTGTTTTTCTTTTTAAATAAATAATGTAGGATCAGAAAAATATATACATTTTCATAAATTAAAAGAAGCTGTATGTTTTATGTGAGTTATATAAATGTTTGAAATATTTGTCAATCTATAACTTTCACTGTTTACTGGCATTTCGTTTCTAGCGGAAATTGGAATGAAATCATTTTACTCACTTTTTAATATTATGGATATGACGAATGAATGACTTCTTGTGGTTCTCTTTGTGAAAAAAGGTTAAAACTTCAACCATTGATTCTTGATTGATTCACTTGCTAAACATTTACATGCGCTCAATTTCTCAGAAAATGATATGCTAGAACGAATGAGTATTCGCTTTGTAGAATAAATTGCTCCTGAAATCTCTACTGCTATATAAGAATGGTTTTCAAATCGATGTATAGTAGAGTACTGCAGGCACACTCTTTACACTCATTGCACTATTCTGAAATAAGTGTACCAGCATTTAGTTAAATAAATTGAACAGTATGTGAACAGTCCCTAGTTGTGAATACCATTTCATCAAAACAAATCAATCTTGCAGCTGATATGTCTCTGATATAAAGGTTATTTGATTTTAAAATCAATAAGAAAAAACAACACAAATAACTCACTCTATGCAGTTTTTGTTTTCGGTGGTAAGAAGCCGTGCCACACGCGTATATAGAAATGGTTTTAGATGAGAAATGTAAATACTTAGCTTTACTTTAGATACGCCTTAGTTCTCTCCTAGTTACCCCTCAAATAAGTTGTAAGCGAGTAGTGCAGCATTTTTTAGTTAGTTTGTGTAGCAGCAGCAACAACAATGTATCTCCAGGATGTCAGCTTAAACATACTATAAATATGCAAATAAAGTGAATAGAAAGACCCAATTGTATGGCCGTATTGTAACATTGTGTGTAGACCTAAGCTATCAACTGGCATTACCTACTTAGTATTATAAATTATAAATAGTAAACCTAATATGATTATTGAACGTACTCGTAAAGCAAAAGCAAAAGCAATGAAACGAAATAAACACATTACAATCAAACCAACCCAACCGGCGAGTCTCTCTCTCTTTCCAAACAGTCGCTGACAGCAACCATAATTATTATTTATGGGGAGTCAAACGGTCGAATGGCATGGAACAGGAAGCCATATGCTTGTCTAAACAGCAAAAAACTAACAACAATTAGCCAACAGACGGGCGGCCTTTCATTATAAATATATTACGTGTTTTTATTTTTATTTTTTTCGCGTTGCAAGCAAAACAAACAGAGCCGCCTGGCAGAACTGGCAGGACTGGCAGAGCTGGCAGAGCTGGCAGGTAGGTAGTAGAGAGACAGGTAGCCTGTGGTGGCCAAAAGCCGCTCTAATGTGTTGGCCGCTGTCACATTAGTGTGTGACTCCTACAAGTTGTCGGGCCCTGTCGGTGGTCGAGTGCGGAAGTAAACCATTTGCGGGGCCCCTCACGGAGTTATTTGAGTTAAGAGTGGCGCCTACAAAGTTGCAGACATTTGACGCGAACCGCACCGCATCGTCGGCTGCAATCAAATGCTCTCTTTATTTGAACTTCAACAGAGACACCTTTTTAATTTGGCATTTGCCGATGGCCGGCTACTCGGAAATTCGCATAAATTGCGTTTAATTGGACAATTTTTGGTTTGGTTTATTTCTTTGTGGCCAGCGGCAGCATTTTGTGTAATAATGAGGATGTACGAGAGCACTTAACTCAGGTTCTTGTTGCTGTTGTTGTTGCTGTTGCATGTGGCCTGGCTTTGAACTTAATTGACAGCCAACTTGGCCAACAAAACGAACAGGCTCGGGCTCAGAGTCGAGTCGAGTCCAGTCGAGTCCAGTCGAGTCGGTTTGATTGATTATTGGGCCAAGTTGTGGACAGGCAATCTATTTGTGTCCACTTAGTATAATACAAGAAACACAAAACACCCCGCTACAGTGAATGGAAAGTTGGGGCCACTCGCACGGACAAGTGCAGCAAAGTTTTTGGAAAAATCCCAAAAAGAAAAACCCAAATTGAAATTGACCAGCGGGTGGTTGGGTGGTTGAAGGCTGCAAGAAGGCCGTCCTCTGGTTCCTTTGCTGCTCTAGTGCTCTGCACGTGTCAGAAAGCGCATGAAAAATAGAAATGAACAAGCGTGCGGTTGGTCAACAAGACAGGCAGCAGGACTTTGAGTGAAGCCCCTTAGTCCTGCTACGACCGGACACGTCAATTCGGATTATGGCAAGATTGAGGAGGATTTAAGGTATGATTAGTAGAAGAGCAGCAATTGGGCGCAAGCCGAGCAATTTTCAAATTAGTTTTCCACAACATGTTGTTGCTGCAATTTTCGCGTTAACTCGACTCTGACAAAGAGCGCATCAAAAGAGTTGGAAAAATCAAAAGAAAAACACACAGTTGACAATGTCACTCATTCATTCTCTCAGTCAGTCAGCTAGTCAGTTAGCCAGTCAGTCAGTCATTTAGTTCGTCAGCTAGTCAGTCACAGTAGACGGCGCACAATGACAGCAAATAATTAGCGGCCATCACGAAGGTATTTAAATTAAATATGAGCCGCTATCTGCCACAAGAATACATACCTCTACACACTCAAGCTTGTTTGTGTGTGTGTTTGTGAGTGTGTGTGTGTGTGCCTGTCTCGACTCTAATTATGATCGTTGGCTTACCCTGTTGGGCAGCACATGACAGTCATAAAAATGTCATAAAGGATGGCATAAAAAAGGCAGCCATTATGGCCAAACAAACGGTAATGCAAACACACACACATACAATTGTCAGCTAACTGTCATTAGCGCATGCGTGTGTGTGTGTGTGTTGCGGAGCTATTAAAATTTGTACACCAACGCGCATCAAAATTAGTTTAAAAATGGAGTAAATGGCGCCTCACCCTCAACCCCAAGCCTCGAGCTAATGTCACAGAACGCGGCCATTATTTTATGTTCGTCTAGTTTTGTTTTTTTTTTTTTTGGGTTTCGTCACCCCGAGCTCTAACTAACAGCACTTCTAATGACCCCCCGAACGACCGAACGACTCACAAACAATTTACCCCGTAAATTAATCATCGCCGCGTTCGATTGTCATTAGTCTGTCGTTCGTGTGTTTTTTCTTTTTTTGTGTATTCATTTATTCAGATAGTCTTCTTTGTTAGCAAATAATTTGGTAATAACTCATTATTCGCTTTATTTCAAAGTCTTTGACAAAATGAAACAAAACACAACAAATCACTTGCCTAAATATTTTAGAGAGCTTTGTCGAATCTTTATGAGATAGGCTGTGAATGGTTTTATTTCTCTGACGTAAAAGACTCGAATTTAAATAAGCTTCAAATTTTTAGGAAAATCTAACTAATCTACATATGTATGTATTTATTTAGTTATTTATTTATGTTGTCAAAGCGGAATAGGAAGTTTGAGAATTGAGAGGCTTTTATTTTTAATGCACGAACTTATTTCTTTTGCTGACAATCTTTAACTAAATATTAAATGTTTTTATATCAAAAATAAATAAAATATAGAGTACAGTTATATACAGTAAAGAGGTTGTTGAAAAAACACTCAATTTTAAAAATCTCTTTTGCCATCAAATTAGATAAGTAGAATAAGTACATTTCTTGTTGGTTGAAGAAGCAGAAAATTTAAGATGAGACCCAGAAAGATAGTGGAGTCTACATCGCCAATAATCGTTTTGTGAAAAGAAACTAGACTAAGCGCAGTCCTACGAATTACTAAGGATGGAAGATTGGGAACTAAAAGCTTCGATCAAGCAGTGCAAAAAGTAGGCATTGCTTATTCATTAATGTCCTGATGCTTTCTATACTGCAAACACCAGACAAATGAAAAGCACAGGGCATACTAAAAAAGTGTACAGAAGTTTAGTATCAAGAGAATCACAAGGATCACATATCATATAATCATTGGACCAACGTTTAATAAATCCAAGAAGGTTGAGATAAAAGATCTCAACCTAACTGCAGAAGATAATGGAAGATTGGAGTTGATTTGGCATCAAAAAGATTGCATTCAGTTGAGATCATCCTGCAGACGATTATAATGTAGAGGACCTTTACATAATATATGAATAAGAAGAATAAGAATCTGGCAAGATAGAGTGTAATTCTTCAATAAATAAAGTAAAAAGCAAAGGGCCAAGATAACACCAGATGTTACAAAAACCGGGTTCTGTTTTTTTCAAATAACTTGACGAAAACCAAGGCAAAACAGGGAAGGAAAATCAAGTGCGATTGAAGAGCAGAAGAGTCAAAGGCTTATTG